TGGGCACAGAGGGCTATGGCAGAGTTGACTGATTTTTTGCATTGCAGTGTGGCGAGGAAACGGGGCCAGGGACACTGCTGTAACTTTTGTTTTCTTTGAAAATCATATGCCACTTAGCGATGGCTACCTTTGAGGTCATTCATGCCACTGAAGTCTGAGAAGCCAAGAATACAACGGCAAAACTTAGGTGTCCGTTTTCATCTAAAAGTAAAAGACCTGTGAGGAGCCCTTCTTACCCATACCCCTTACCCAGCAAGACATAGGAAGTGGTGGAAAAGTTCCAATTTCCTGCCCAATCATTTCTGCCCTTAGGGAGATCTCCTTAAAGAAGAAAGAGCAGAGTGATGGATGCCTCGGCCCATGTCAAGGGCCTTCAGTGATGGGGGAGCAGCTTAACACAACCCCACAGGTAAAGGAGAATGTTTAAACCACCTAATCACTCTATCCAAAGTTCAAGGAACGTGGCTGCTGGACAGAAGCCCAAAGGCTGCATGTCCAACCCTCCTCGATGCACAGAGAAGAGGCAGGCCGGCTTACCGTCCTAGAACCACCTTGGACTCTCCCGAACGGCACTGCACAGCCAAGCAGGACATATACAGTGTGTGCTGCAGCTCTTTCCAACCCAACAGTGGCCTGAGAGGGCTGTGAGTCCCACTGCGCTGGTTCTAGGTAAAGTCAAGTGATTTGATTTATTTATTGATTTTAGAGAGAGAGGAAGTAAGAGGGAGAGAGAGATGGAAACATCGATAAGAGAGAACATCAATTGGCTGCCTCCTGCATGCGCCCCACTGGGGATTTGGTCCACAACCTGGGCATGTGCGCGGACCAGGAATTGAACCGGTGACCTCTTGGTGCATGGGTCAACACTCAACCACTGAGCTACACCAGCCAGACAAGCCAAGTAATTTTAAACAAACAGTCATTCATCCTAAAGGCAAAGAGCTAAAAATAATTTAATGAAGAGTAGGAGCAGACAGATCTCTGTATATTCCTTCTGCCCTCATTTTGTTGTGATCTTTCTGTAAAGCCTGTGAGAGAAAAGATGTCAAGGAACTGCTAGGAAAATGGATGTACTACCATCTGCCACTTTCCAAGGGACACCTTCTATGGAGGCAACAGCCATGAAAATTATAAAGGCGTGGACCCCTTTGACCCAGCAAGTCTACTCTGAGGAACTGACCCTACAAATACATCCAGGTGGGCCAACGGGGGTTCACAAGTGCAAAGGGCCAAGAGCAATGTAACACACATCGAAGGGGGACTAGCCGAATTAATTAAGGCACATTCACAGGTGCAGTACCATCAAGTTGCAAATAAAACAAAACCACCACCACCAAGCACCAAAGAGTGTGTCATAAGAAATGATGAAATGATCTTTAGGAGCTTCTGTTGCAGGGAAAAGCAAGGTGCAGGACAACAATATAGTATTTTATCATTTATATTTTTTTAAAAGAGGGGACTGAGGGCATGTCTGAGTAATTTGCTTCCATGCATAACATATCTCTAGAAGGATGCATGAGAAACTGGCGACACTGATTTGGATCCAGGAAAAGAAACTGGGTGGCAGGTTGGAAGGAGTGGGAAGGGGTCATCCCACAGCACACCCTTCCTTTGCGTATCTTTTGCTTTCTGAATCAGGTGATTAAGAGCACTCTTTTAAAAGCACTCTTTTAATAAAATGTTTAAAGATCTGATCTTTTAACAAAGAGTGAAAATAGATAATGGCCATTTGTTTCTATGACTCTTCTTGGGCACAGAAAATGCTGGCGATTCCAAGTGTGGTCCCTAGTCCTGGCCTCTGAAATTCAAGCCTGGGAATCTCTGTGCCATAAGCAGACCAAGATGTACAGAGCGTGAACTCTCTGATCCTTCCTAAGTGAGCTGGAAAGGAGTAAGCCAGGTGTATTCACAAACCCGTTCTTTTTTTTTTAAATTGTAACTCGAGGACATTTTTCCATTTTTTGTTCAGATAAAGTGGGAGGGAGAGAGAGAGAGAAACATCGACGTGAAAGGGACACATCGAGTGGCTGCCACCCACATGACCAACCAGGTCCGGGGACAAACTTCAACCGAGGCACACACCCTTAGCGGGAACCGAACCTCTCTCTGGACCACAGGCTGATGGTCCAACCGCAGAGCCAAATCGGCCAGGGCCACAAACCGGTTCTTAAGGTTAAATAGATACATTTTGCTATATCACTTAATTCTGTCTCCTTGGGGAACTGCTTATTAACAGAGCTAGGTTACTTGACAAGCAGCTTGCTGAAACCTGTGCACGAGGCATCTCACACCCAGTGCCAGGCCCACAACTGGGGCCCTGCAGGATCTGTGCTGAACACACGACGGCTGGCTGGCTGGATATACGGACGGGTGCATCTGAACCATTGTTATCTGATGCTCAGACAGCTGTGGTGCCTATAAAATGCTAATGTGATCATCATATGGGGCAGGGATATTCTCCAACTAAACAAAAATAACACCTCTGGAGTACTTCTACAGGTCAGGGAAATTTCAGTTTCCGACTCAAATGTATTCTACATCAACATTCAGACTTCACTGTCTGCTTTTATCACAGTTAATCAATAATGGACGACAGCTAAACCCCGGTTCTGTATCAGGTACAAACGAAGATAAACCAAATTCTCTGTTCTCATAAAGCCTTCATCTGATTCCGAGTGATACACGCCAGAGGCACAGACACAAACCCCCATGTGGATGTAGCTCCAGGCAAATTCGATCGCTAATCATCTCACACCAACCTAATAAAATGTGCTGGGACCCCCGCCGCCAGGCCAGGCACAGGCACAGCCGACACACGGCATGCACACGCAGAGCGACACTGAGCCCCGTGCACAGATCTGGGTGGGAATCACGGTATCACATTATAGGAGAGCAGCAGGATGACATGACTTAATTCACACAGAGACACTACATGACGATTACGTTTCTCAAAAACACAGGTTCTTCGGGGGAAGCAGAAAATCTATTAAATACAATCAGATGGGAAGTCCTGCCTCAGCAAAAATAAGGAAAGTTTCATAGATAAAAGCTTGACTTCCCTCACATCCGGGTGGGTGGCATTCGTGTTGGAGAAACATCTCAGCACATTATTAATTACTAAAGCAACCAGCCACCCACAAGTGTTTGGAGGCTTCTGTTGTACTCACAACACATTTGGATGAAATCCTGTCAGATTTCAAAGGATACTTCAACAACTTCTTGTAGTAAATTTACTTCCACTCTTAATTTTAAAATATCAATGCAACACAACAGTTACAAGTTATTTGAGGGAATATAGACTTTTAAAAATAAATTTTCATAAAATTAAAGAATTAATCAGCAGATTCTTATAATTAATGCTTTTAATTGGGTTGGAAATTTTCAGAGGCATCCAAAACAGTGCCTACACACCATCAATATCTAAAGGATGCTCCCAGTCTGATCTTGTATTGAACTGAACACAACTGGTTTCTCAAATATATCCACTATGATTGTATCAAAATATACAGCTGTATAGAAATAAATGTACTTAGATAAGACAAAGAGAAACAGGACCTGCCAGATGAAAAATTTACTGAAAATATGAAAAAATGTAAACCAGGCTAGTATGACACACATCTATCCCCTCACTACACTGAGAACTTGGGAGAAAAATGAGATAACCCACACTTGAAAGCATAATGGATGAAAAATTAGAAAGCAAATATGCAATCTTTCTTCTCTCAACAAATGAGCTCACCAGGGATCGGAAAAGAAAGTTTTCTCAAAGCCCGAGAAAGGAAACCGCCTTAGGAAACCAACTGCTGTCTCCTCCCCCCACTTCCCAGGAAGACAAAATGCAGGAGCTATATCATCACCGACTTTTCAGCTAACAAACGCTGAATGTGCTCCAACAAGACAGCCTGCCTTGAGCACAAAGGGAGTCCCTTCTCACACAGAGACTGCAGTAAGCCACATGAATTTTCTACTGCTTTATCTATCCTCTTGGATGAAGAATATATCAATGGAATCCAGAATGCTTTGATTTTTTTGAGTACTTACTAAATTGCAAAACCAGTGAACACCTAGATAAATGAGGCCTGACCATATAGGTACTTATACGTTAGGGGAAACAGGATGTAAAAATCACAGTGATGATTAACTATCACACGCCAGGCATTATGCTTAAAGCTTTATATACACATTTTCATTTAATCTGACAATTCTATGAAGCAGGTACTGTTATGAACCCCCTTTTACAAATGAGGAAACTGAGGCATAAGGCCATACAGGGTAGTGGGTAGGGGGCTGGAACTGGACCATGTGCATCCAGAGCCTGGTTCCTCTCCCGGTCACAATACTGCCATATGGAGAAAGGCCTCCTTCCTCAGGAGAAGGATGCTGTCAGAGAAGTTTCTTTCCAGAGATTACACCACTGCCAGAGGGGTCAAGAGCAGGCCAATTGGAGAAAAAAACAAAACAAAACAAAACTTGATCCCTCTCTTCCCTGACTCCAATGGAGGAAAAAGAGACTTCCCTAAATCAGCTTTAAGACTTTTTTAAGACCAAGTGCTCGGCCTACAGTCAGGATAGTACAATGCTAGGTAGTGATAAAATTTAGTTATCATGCAAAGAATTTCAATTAAAAATTTGCTTTGGGCTCAAAGAGTATCAGAGGTATTTTCATGCACTGTTGGTGAGAATGTAAATGTTGATGCAACCATTGTTCTACAAAGATATGTTTTCAGTGTATAAATGTACCTAGAGATGCAGAAATTTTTTTCTAGATGGATTCTATTAGAAACTATTAATAGTTTCATCTCAAAGTGGGTTAGGTGAAAGGAGGAGAAAGGAAACAATTACTTTCATTTCATATCCTTTTCAAGTGCTTGAATTAATTTTTTACCATGCTAAATATATATTTCCCAAATACATCTCAGAGCTTTAATATTTTTTAATTGCCTTCTAAAAATGAAAGTTGATGTTCTATTATGTTAATTGCACATCCTGCTATTTTGTACCTTGTTCCCTTCGTGCACCCATCCAAGACTCTTCACTCCAAAAGCAGCCTGGTTGGCTGAGACATCTAGACAGGTGACAGGCTGGCCATAGACGTAATGGAGGGTTCTGGCAGAGTCGTCAGCCTTTAGCAGGTATACCAGATCTCCAGCAGTGGCTACTGCCACAGGGTACCTTCCAGTATCTGGAACTATTTCAAGGTAGTCAACCTGGAAAAGGGTAAGAGTTGTTTAGTCCTTCAGGTCCCACCTACAGTTCATCCTGATTTGGCAAAATATATATATATATATATATATATATATATATATATATATATATGTACATACAGTTCCTCCTACACATCAATAAGACCAGCAACCCCACAGAAGAAGATGGGTAAAGGGGCCGTTCATAGGAAATGAAACACAGTTCTTAGATAAATGAAAAGTTGCTTGTTGCAAAAGAAACACAATGCATTCCTAATAAGAAAACTACAAAGTAAAAATTCACCAAGAGACCATTTTCACTTGTCATACCAGTAAGGACAAACAGTCTGCTACCACTGGGGTGGAAGTGAAGGGCACGAGGACACATACGGGTCCCACTGTGGCTGGTGGGAGTAACCCGATCCGACATCTACAGAGGGAAAGCGGCAACACATTCCACAACGTCAAATGCATCTATGCTCTGACCCAGCAAGTCCCTTCTAGGACTTTACTTACAAATAAACTCACATTTATGCAAAACGATGTGTACAAGGTTATTTGCTATAGCATTATTTTGTCATCACTAAAAACTGGAAAAAGCTAAACTTGCGTTACTAAGGGACTAATTAGATAACTTATAACCCATCTATGTGCTGGAATACCACATAGTCATATAAAGAAAGGATGAAGACATTCTTTGTGAACTGATATACACATGATCATTTCTTTTATTTTTTTAATCCTCACCAGAGGACATCTTTCCATTTTTGTTCAGATAGAGTGTGTGTGTGGGGGGGGGGGGGGGGGAAAGAGAGAGAGAGAGAAACATCAATGTGAAAGGGACACATCAAGTGGTTGCCACCCACATGACCCAACCAGGGCCGGGGACAAACTGCAACCGAGGTACATGCCCTTAGTGGGAACCGAACCCGGGTCTCTCTGGACCGTAGGCCGACACTCTAACCGCTGAGCCAAACCAGCCAGGGCCACACATGATCATTTCTAAGGTAAATTTTGGAGAAAAGCAAGAAAACAAGGTAACAGGATTCACAGTGTGCTAACGTGCGTACAGGTGGGCAGAGGAAGCACCTAATGTACTTGGCTTGTACATGCATAAATCTTCTAAACATGGCTGCTTTCAAAGAGGGAAATGAGTTGAGGGGTAGAGTAGAAGTGACATTTTTCACTGTAAATTTTATTTTTTTCTTTGGAAATTTTTTTTTTTTTTGGTACGTGCCCCTAGCAAGAACCGAACCCGGGACTCTCTGGTCCGCAGGCCGATGCTCCAACCGCTGAGCCAAACCGGCCAGGGCCACTGTAAATTTAACTGAGTCTTTCAAATTCTGAACCATGAAGATGTAATAACTGTTCAAAAAAAAATTTTTTTTTTACCAGAAATGGGATAAAATTCACTCAGTTCCAAATGGGCAAAAATCACATATTAACATGTGTGCAAAAATGAAAAATGTGTTGCCAAAAGGTTAAGTGTCTGAGTTATCTGCTCTGCCCTGGTTTCAACACCATCGAGAGCAGGAGGGCCAGACCAACAGCCTTCTTATACCACCGCAGTACCCGTCGGCCACACTGCCACCACCTCCTCCAGGCTGCATGCGCGTGAAGAGGTCCCTTCAAGAGCCATTTGCTTTTCTAGGCCCCTCAATGGCACACTTCCTCCGAGTGCCGTTCACCACCGCTTCTCATCTCCCTGAGTAAACTGGGAGGACGAAAGCAGAGGGTGAGCCACGACGTGTAATGGTGAAAATCCACGGTGTAAAAGGACAGCACTGCCCGGTAATAAGCCTGATGAGTCCCAAAGCTTGAATCCTGAGGGCTGTCCAGAGGAGCTGCAGGCGGAGAGTAAACATCTGGGTGACTGCTGATCCTCGGGCCCAGCAGCGAGAGTGGCGCCCCACTCCGCAGCAGCAGGCCCGCGCACAGGAGGCATGTCCAGGCTGACATCCCTCCCCCAGCGTGGGCCTGCTCCCACTGCGATTCAGGAAGCCATCGGGGGAGCAAGAACGGCCCGGCACTACGGTGGAGCCTTCCCAGGGACAACGCATTCTGTGGCAACCCTCATCCAGGGTGAGAAGTAAAAATGATTCTAAAAATCATTTCTTACTTTCCTAAAACTGACATCCTCAGTCCAGCCATTTAATTTCATCTTCATGTTGGATTTTGGACAGACCACGAGGCTCAGATTGACAGTGGCTGTGCCATTTGCTGGGAGCTGTAAAACTACTTCAAAAAGCCTCCAGTCTGTGCCAGGTTGCCACCGTATTGCCAAAGCAGGATTTACATTTTACAGAGGGACTCACATCTTAAGTAATTGTCTGAGTTCATATAATTATTGTCAGTCTGCAGCGCTCTTTAGTCAGAGACCAGATAATAAGCACAGTGGTAGTTGTGAAAGCAAACAAATATGGTACTTTCACATTTTTCTAATAAAACCCAAGATGGGATAACAGCCTCAGGCAGTTTTAGGGAACAGTACACCCAAACTGCAGAGATTGGATCATTAAAGGGACAAGAAGCTTATGGAGGTGAAGCAGTAACACGTGGCTTTTTAGTTATTCAAGTCTAACAAGATTTCTAGCAGGAGGCAAGGGAGAGGAATAGGATTTGTTCCAGGTCAGGCCATCAATTTATTATTCAATGTTGGCTCTCTGTTCACTCTCCTACTAGTGCCAAAATCAAGTTTATTTAAATTAAATCCAAATTCAGCATGGACAGATTTAAACTCTTCCTTCTACCACTAAATCATCTCCTACCATTCGAATGCAGAGGCTCACGTACAACTAGACTCTTTAAGGCTAGCTCTGCTTCACATGTGACAACCCGAAACATGGCTACAAAATAACACTGACCTAATCTATTTTCAGAGTTACTCTGAGTTGCAGGTGAGAAACACTTGGGGTGAAGGAAGTTGAGGATGGAAACCCCCTTGCCATAAGGCCCAGGATGATACTACTGAGCCCATTTTCACTTATAAATCTGGCCAAAAGCTGACCGTAGAGTGTCCAGGGGGGTACATCCTGTGAAAGTGAAAGAGGATGAGGACCACAGCAATGAGAAACTCTAGCCCTTAAGTCAGCCCTGGGGTCCGAATCACAACGTCTTAGCTCTGTGACTGGGGCAGGTCCATTCACTGCTCCACATTTCCACTGGCTTCCTGGTAAACAGGGAGAACGATAGCACCTATTTTGTGAGACTGTAGTAAGATTCATGGATGTGAGGCCCACAGGGAGTCCTAAGTGAATGGGAGCTGCCAACATCATTATGATGTTGTTTACATTAGATTCAGAGGTTCTAAGAATGAAAAATAAAATGACCAGACTAAAGCTCACCAGTTTCTGAACTTCAAATTCTGCAGCTATTTGCCAATATCCCTCCTCGTTGGGGCGCAACATCACAACGTCGAAAGCAGAAGCTGTGGCAACAGTGGCATCGTCCTGGCTGAGGGCCAGCGCCTGTATTCTCGCATCATGCTCCAGGCGGTGAATAGGATACTTTCCAGTCCTTAGATCCCAAATATTAAGAAATCCTATGTAGAAAAAAAAATGCAGTAACCATTTTAAATTCACCTCATATGCACAATTATGAGATAACAACTGTTTAATGTAACAAGTGTCGGCGAGGGTGTGGAGAAAAGGGGATCCTAGTACACTGCTGGTAGGAATGCAGACTGGTGCAGCCACTATGGAAAACACTATGGTGTTACTTCAAAAAATTAAAAATTGAATTGCCATTTGACCCAGTGATCCCATTTCTAGGAATATACCCTAAGAAGCCTGAAACACCAATCAGAAAGAATGTATGTATGCCCATGTTCATAGGAGCACTATTTACAATAGCTAAGATCTGGAAACAGCCCATGTGTCCATCAGTAAACAAATGGATTAAAAAGCAGTGGTACATATACACAATAGAGTACTATGCAGCTGTAAGAAAGAAAGATCTCTTATCCTTTGAGACAACATGGAGGACCCTGGAGAGTATTATCCTAAGCAAAACAAGCCAAGGAGAGAAAGACAAATATCACATGATCTCATTTATTTGTGGAATATAATGAAAATAACAGTCTGAGGAACAGGGTAGACCCAGAGATGTGGAAGTAGGGTACAGACTGACAACACTTAGAAGAGGAGGTAGAGGAGGAAGTAAGAGATAAACCACAGAACTTATATGCATGTACACATAACCGATGGACATGGACAACAAGGCTGGGGATGGGGTTGGGGGGATGGAGAGGAGGGTGTCAATGGGGGAAAAGAAATAAACATCTATAACAAAAATAAATAAAAATAAATAAATAAAAGAAAAATTATAGCACTTCCGGTCAAGATGGTACATAGGTAAACGCGGTATCGGGTCCTCCCACAACCACATCAAAGTTACAACTAAACTACAGAACAACCATCATTCAAAACCGCCTGAAATCGTCTGAATGGAAGTCCTACAACTACAGAATTAAAGCAACAGCCACATCCAGACTGGTAGGAGGGGCGGAGGCGGAGGGGCGGAGGGGCGGAGGCGGACGGGCTGGTCCCACACCCATGTGTGGCGGATAAAAATCAGGAGGACACCTCGACTGGGAAGGTCCTCCCTGAGGACTGAGGGGTCCCTGTCCCACACCAAGTGCCCTGCTCAGGGTTCCAGTGCCAGGAAGAGAATCCCCATAACTTCTGGCTGGAAAAACCAGCAGAAACTGAGGCTGAGGGAGGCTGAGGCAGCTGGAGCCCCAGGAAGTTCCTCTTAAAGGGCCCGCACACTCGGACTTGCACCCTCCAGGCTCCAGCATGGGGGAAGCAACTTGAAAGGCACCAGAGACATACAGGGGAAGAACTGAGTTGTCTAGCATTGGAGTGAGGGCTGGAGAGGTGGCTTTCTCCTGGACAGAAGTGCTATCAGAGGCCTTTGTTCCTTTGGTGAGCCCTTCCCTGGGGCGGCAGACAGAAGCCATATCTGGGACTTCCGCAACCTGGCTCACACTGGTTGCCCCGCCCTGGTGATTCCCTGAGGCCCCGCCTCACCCAACTTTCAGGCCCACCCAAGCTGTTTCCAGTTGCTTTACCATAGGATTGGCCTGTCTTGGATCCTGCTTCAGGTTTTCTTAAATTCTTTCAAACAAGCAGCTTCTGGTCTCAGCTAGCCCCATGCCTCTCATCAAGTAATACACAGAAACAAACACAGGGAGGCAGACAAAATGAGGATACAAAAAAACAGATCCCAAATGAAAGAACAGAACAAAACTCCAGGAAAAGAATTAAGTGAAATGGAGATAAGCAACCTAACAGATGCAGAGTTCTGCTTATAAGGATGCTCAATGAACTTAGTGAGGGCTCAAGAGCATAAAAAAGGACCAGTAAGAAAGAAAGGATGGCCCTGGCCGGTATGGCTCAGCGGTTAAAGCGTCAGCCTGCGGTCCAGAGAGATCCGGGTTCAGTTCCCGCTAAAGGCATGTACCTCGGTTGCAGTTTGTCCCCAGCCCTGGTTGGTCGTGCAGGTGGCAGCCACTCGATGTGTCCCTTTCACATCGATGTTTCTCTCTCTCTCTCCCTCCTGCTCTATCTGAACAAAGAATGAAAAAGTGTCCTCGGGTGAGGATTTAAAAAAAAAAAAAAGAAAGAAAGAAAGGATGCACAGTCAGAAATGAAGGAGGCACTAACTGAAATAAAAAAAATTTACACAGATTCAATAGTAGAGTAGGTAAAGCCAAGAAGCAAAGCATCGATTTGGAATATAAGGAAGCAAAAAATAGCCAATCAGAACAGCAAAAAGAAAAAGGAATCCAAAAAAATGAGAATAGTGTAAGGAGCCTCTGGGACAACTCCAAGCGTGCCAACATTCGCATCTTGGGGGTGCCAGAAGGAGAAGAGAGAGAAAAAGAAATCAAAACCCTATTTGAAACAATAATGGCAGAAAACTTCCCTAACTTGGTGAAGGAAACAGACATACAAGTCCAGGAAGCACAGAGAATCCCAAACAAGATGAACCCCAAGGGGCCCACACCAAGACATATCATCACCAAAATGCAAAAAGTTCAAGACAAAGAGAGAATCTTAAAAGCAGCAAGAGAAAAGCAGTTAGTTACCTACAAGGGAGTTGCCATAAGACTGTCAGCTGATTTCTCAAAAGAAACTTTGCAGGCCAGAAGGGAGTGGCAAGAAATATTCAGAATGATGCCCTGGTTGGTTTGGTCAGAGCGTCAGCCTGTGGTCCAGAGAGACCTGGATGTGGTTCCCGCTGAGGGCATGTACCTCAGTTGCAGTTTGTCCCCGGCCCTGGTTGGGTCATGCGGGTGCAGCCACTCGATGTGTCCCTTTCACGTCGATGTTTCTCTCTCTCTCTCCCGCTCTGTCTGAACAAAAAATGGAAAAATGTCCTCGAGTGAGGATGAAAAAACAAACAAACAAAAACCGTGAGCTTGACTTTCCCACACTTGTTAAAAACCCTGATTCTACCACACCCCCTCTCTCTAGCACCCTGAATGCTGCTCCCCAGATGAATTCCTCTTATACACACTGGCCACGTCTCTGCCTTTCTCAAACTGTCCAGGGCAGTGATCTCCAGGTCAGTGATCTCCCAGTGCAGACCCTGGACCGTCAGCATCACCTGGGGCCTGTTAGAAATGCAAATTCTCAGTTGGAGCAAAAGCTCAAATTTGAGAACCAGTGGTCTACAGGAACCTACACTTTCTACAGATATAGGCCCTTCTCTGTATTTCTAATGCCATTTATTCTTTTTCTCAGCAAATAGTTTCTTTTTTACCGTTCTTATCCACTAAGCTAGTTCCTTTCCCTTGAAGGTTTACCCAAGAAAATAATTATTTTCTGTACATGCTGGATAATGTTCTGTTCCAACTCCAACTGATCATATTTTTTCAAAATTCACAGAAAGAATTTGTGGAGATAACAGTCTGTGGCTATTTGTTCGAGTAGGTCCAGCCCCACTGCTTGCTAGCTGCAGGCCTTGGGTGAGTTACTTAAAGCAGTGAGACTGTTTCCTCACTTGTAAAACTGAAGACGATTTACCTATCACACAGGACTGGTGGGCTGATTAAAGGAGATAAACCATATAAAATGTTGGAGACAGATCAATCATTTATTTTTATGTATTCTACAGTTCCTGCTGTATTGTAAAGCATAATCTATTAATAACACTAATTTCCTCTACTGTTCACCCATAAATCCAGCCCTATCACCTATAACTTCCTATTACCTAAAACAGATAAAATGTTTCATGTTTTTTCTGTGATCCACCTTCCCTTATTCTTGCCTTGTTCTTCACCTTTAAACAATAAATGCTTTGAACTTACAATCTTACTATAAAGTATCCTTCAGCACTGAGTAAATATAGTCAGAAGAAAACAACACATTTGGGCTGCTTTGCAAGACTTTCAAGCAGTCAGTAGACTTAAGCAGGTGATTACAAATCAAAGCAGAGCTTTCAAGTTAAATGTTGCTTCATATGTAAAACAGAGCATACTCAGTATCTCGAATACAAGAATGGCAATAAACTTTGGGGATAAGCAGATCGCAAAAGGCTCCACAACACGTTCCTCAGCAAACATTTCGGTAAATTCTCTCCAATCTGACTAGGAAGAAACAGACACGCAGCAGAAGATGCCAATGGCTCTGCACATTATAGGAGACAGGCGCGTTTCAAGATGTGCCTCCTCCAAATATTTCCGCATTGGCATTTGTTGGGAGACATCATGATCGGTAGTAAAGAGAAATAAAAGGTGCTACTTCCATAGAGCTTTCCAATGTTCAGACGTTTTAATCTGTCTACTCTAATCCAGTGCTCACTTCTGTCTTGGGAGGAGCATCCACCCTTAGCCTCCTTTTTCAAAAGAGAAGAAACGGAAGCTCTGCGTGCTTAAACCTCCGTCCAAAGCCACTTGATACGTGATGAGGCTGGGCTGGAACTGAGCTAGAAAAGTGCAGGATGAGCAGCTGCATTCACAAGTGCATAAAATAACTATGAGAGCGATGAGCGACTGAGTAGACTCGCCTTGGGTTCTGCCAAGTGTGGAAGTTATTTAGCCACAGCTCACTCTAAGCACACATGGAGTTTATCTATAAACACATTTTTCATTATTAATCAAGTATTGGTTTTGTTGGCATCATTTTTCCCAACAGAACTGTATGCAATAAAATAGCCTTCACCACAGGTCGAGTTTCACAGAACTACCCTAAGAAGGGGCTCTTTGGGAAATACATTCTAGGGCTCCACCAATTTAATTCTCTCTGAATGCCTGCTGTGCCACCATCTTTGTTCTTTGCCCTAGTCAGCTGGGAAGCGTAGAACTTGGTCGGAGCCTCACCTGTCAATGGTGCCATGATCATTTGCACGGTCCTCCAGGCCACTTTACAGTACACAAACATTTAGGACTGTTATGTCCTCTTTATGAACTGACCCTTGATTATATGAAACAACATTTTTTTCTTGTTGTTAATCCTCACCCGAGGATATTTTTCCATTGATTTTTAGATAGAGTGAGAGAGACAAACACTGATGTGAGAGAGACACATCAAATGA